CACGCCTTTAATTCCAGCACTTGGGAGGCAGAGGCAGATGGATCTTTGTGATCTTTGTGACCAGCCTGGTCTACATAGTGAGTTCCAGGGTAGCTGGGGCTACAAGGAGACCCTGTCTCAAAAAAGACCAAAAAAAAAAAAAAAAAAAAAAATAGAGTTCAAGGTGCAGTCCCATATGCTTCCCTCATTCCTGTGCTGTGTCCTAAAATGCTGTTTCTCCTATTCTTCCTGTAACCCCTTCTTTCTGCCGTTCACTGTGTTTCTGTTTTGCCTCTTCAGGATTGGTTCGTTGTAAACCCAACAACCACCAAAAGCTTTGAAAAGCTGATGAAAATAAAGCAGCGACAGCAAGAAGAGGAGAAGCGGAGACAGCAGCACAGGAGTCGACGGTCTCTAAGAAGGCGACAGTACCCTAGTGTGGAGCCTGCTGAGACCCAGCCAAATCTTAGGGCAGGGAAGGATCAGAGGGGGAATGATGAGGAACTGGTGGTGTCAACCCTCTGTAAGGAACCAGAGCAGGAGGCAGTGCCAGCACAATCCCAGAAAGTAAAGCCTGCCAAAACCACTCACAAACGAGGAAGGAAATAGGCAGTCATTGAATGAGCTCCTAGGAGAGTGGATGTGATGCTGTTGTCACTGGACATGTGTGGGGGAGGCCTGAGTCATGGGGCTGGGAGAAGATGCTTTCAGCGGTGGGTATCAGCTCTTCTGTGTAAATTTCAGGTCTTCCTGACTAATTCACTTTCATCCTTCCCTCTCTTCTAGTAGGTTCTATTCCTCACTGGAGCCCTCTTGTTCTCTTTTCTATTGCCGAAAGAGCTCCCATGAAAAAAACAACTGTAGGCTCCCCCTAGCCCTGTGCAAAATAAGAAACTGTTGTTTGGTCTTTCCTATATGAACTTTCTTGGAACCTCCATGATTGAATGGTTACTCCATCATCTACCTAAAAAAAACATTCCAAGTGAATTTTTTTTAAAGCCATGACAGGTTTTATCATTCTGTATTTGTGACATAAAATTACAGAAAGTAGTGCTATTACTTCTGCTATAGGTGACCCTGAGCCCTAGGGAAGCAAAATTTTATGGAGGCTGATTATCTACAATTTGGTGTTACTACAGAGAAGAAATAATTTAGCATGAAAAAGCTAGAACCTCTCTAACCTTCTAGGAGATGCTTGGTTTATACCAAGTGGTAGGGACTGACTAGACCCACAGGCATGAAAAAATAGCCTTAGGAGTCATGTGTCCCAAACACTAAAATGAGAAGGAAAAAAAAAGCAGCAGCAATAAACACTACCCTAACTTTCCTGGGTCCTGAGGCTTCATCTCAGTTGCTAGGATCAGTGCTCTCCTGAAGCTTGGTTTTGCCTCTTGGTTTTAAGGATTGAGAAGTGACTCATTTTCCCTGATGTGCTGGCACAGTATCCTAGTGCTCCTGGAAATGCCACTGAGACTGTAACCAAGGTGTGTGTGCCCTCTCCCCTGGACTTACCTCACTTGTTAGGCTCCACCCAGTTAAGTCCTCATCCGTGGCATTAGCCCACTTCTGTCTCTTTGAATGTTCTAAGAATATTGTCCTACTATCCCGTTTTATATATGGAGTTCTATCTGCTTTATATTGTGAAATTTTGACACCAGATGTAGATATTTCTCTGGAGCTGGAAAGAATATTCTTCCTCTGTACCTCATGCCTATCTGGTGATGTTTAATGGGCCCTTTCCCTGTGAGGGTGGATATTGTTGGAGAATTGGTTAGAGCCAACCTTGTTGTCGTGTTTCTGGTTTCTCTTCTCCTTTTGTGTAAATACTGTTCTGTATTCCTGCCTATTGTATGGCATTTGCCACTTAAAAAATTAACATTGGTATGGACGATACTACTTTTTCAAATTCTGAAAGGCTGTTTGCCACTCTTGAAGTCTCTGTTCTCTAAATAGCTTTATCATGTGTGCTTTGTGAACACCACTTTTAAGTAATGGAACATTGGATCTTGAATTGGATACTGCCAGAATGGGTTGTTTTGAAACAAGTGGAGGAAATGATGTATTTGTGCTATGTTTTTTTCATTCCTGTTTGTGCCCTTAAAGCCCTTGTAGTAGATGAGGGTTGTCAGGGAGGAGAAATGAAGCTGTGTTAAGTTCTGGTGACAAAGACTTGGAGAATGTTTGGCAATGACAGAAATAAAGTGACTCTCGCTTAGAATGAGGTTTCTAGTTTCTTTGATGATGCACTGCTGCCTGACTCCTTGCTGACACTGTATGGGGCTCAGAACATAGCTGTGGAGTGGATGAGTTTGAAGTAATTCCCAAAGGCTCTTGTCTCAGCACTTTAGCTCCTGAAATCTGCTGGTCAAAATGATTTTCAGCAAAACGGAATTGGCCCAGGAAACTTGGCCTGTCCCCTACAGGCCCCTTGCAGCTGTTGTTTTTAGTTCCCAAGGCCAAAGATCAACAAAATTTCATATAGATTATCCTAATCACACTATTAGAATTTTAAAAATTCACTTAGAATATACAAAGTAGGGTGGCAGTATTTGGTACATGAGGGTTGTTCAACAATATGAATTCTCGTGTATGGTGTAGAATGTAAATTAGTACAATCACTTTAAAAATGATTTGGCAATATCTGGTAAAGTTGAACATGTACCCCAAGAATGAGCAGATTCAGTCCTGGGTATATGCAGAGAAACTCTTCTTGTCCACATGGATAGAGGGATGCACAAAAATGACAGTTGGAGTATAGTTATAGTACAGGGATGCTGGGAATGGTCGTCAAAATCTGTCCTCATCTTCCATAACTATAGGCTTGCAGAACAAATGGCTAGGCTCCATTTCTTTTTTCTCCCCCTTTCCACCCTCCATGCTAACTTCTCTCCCTTGGAACCTGTATAGAAGTGATATGTGTGCTTTGAAGACTGTGATTGTAAGCTAGGGATGTAGCACCATGATAGAGGGTGACTAGCATGCACAAGGCCCTGCGTGTGACCCCAGCACTAGGGATACATTCTCATTTAGATTGCCCGCCCCCTCTGCTTCCTGGGTGCCATGATGTGAGCTTTTCTGATTTGCCATATGCTCCGTGTCATGATAGACTGACATCTCTGAAACTGTGAATAAATAAATTCCTCTTTTAAAAGAAAAGTAAGGTAGTGTACCGTGCACTTCTTTCCACTTTCCCCAACTAGGTGCAGCCGATGATAGTGCCTCATGGGGCAGGAGTGCACAGAATGGAAGGTGGTGGCCTCTCTGAGTCAGCCTATGAAGGAGGGCCACTTGCCAAACAGGAACTTCTGAGATTATGGGAGTAAAAACTAAGTTTTTAAGGCCAGGTGTGATGGCACACACCTTTAATCCCAGAGGCAGGCAATTCTCTGAGAGTTCTACATAGCCAGTTCCAGGCCAGCCAGGGCTATACAGTGAGACTGTCTCAAAAAGAAGAGAGAAAAAAGGGCCCAAACTAAGTTTCTATTATTTGAGATATTATACTTTTTTCTTTTCTACTCTTTTTCCTACTCTTAATACATTATTTTGATCATCCAGAAGAATGGATTAGCTGTGATAGAGTCACACAGTTACTATATAAGCTGTTAAAGAAGTAGTCGTTATTGCAAAGAAATCCTAAAAAAGTCTGTTTGCTATACAAGCTTCAGAATGCACCAGGTATACCACTGATAAAAGGTTTTAACGCATGCAAAAGAAGTGATCTGTAGTGGGCACTTACGTAATTATGAAAAGATGTTCAGGAAGGATAAACACCAAGTATAGAATAGTGCTTCTGGGATCCAGACAGACTTACAGCAGTTTTGTAATTCCTTACTAATGTGGATAGTGAATTGTAGCATTCTTTATTACTGTATATGAAATTCTTTTTGTTGTTGTTTTTTGAGACAAGGTCTCACTTTGTAGCTCTGGTTGGCCTGGAACTTGGTATATAGACCAGGCTGGTCTCAAATGCACAGAGGTCCACTGGCCTCTGCCTTCTGAATACTGGAATTAAAGGTGTGTGCTACCATGCCCAGCTGAAATACTTTTTCAAAAGTTTACACAAGGTCCAGTGAGATGACTCAGCAGATAAAGGTGCTTGCCACCAAAACTGATGACCCGAGTTCATTTCCCAGAAACTACATGGCAGAAGGACAGAACCAACTCCCAAAAGTTGTCCTCTGACCTCCACACATGCACACACATACATGCACACACTCATACAATAAATGAGTGTAAAACAAATTACATAGAATAATATATCCCTCACCTTTTTAAGTTTATTTTTATTTTCTGTGCATTAGTGTTCTGCCTGTATGTATGTAATGGACAGTTGCTAGCTGCCATGTGGTGCTGGGAACTGAACCCAGGTGCTCTGCAAGAGCAGCCAGTGTTCTTAACCACTGAGCCATCTCTCCAACCTCCTTTACCTCCTTATTAAAAGTGACAATTGAGATTGGTTTTTGTTGGTACTGGAGATCATGTATACTAGGCAAGTGCTCTACCACTGAGCTACGTCCCAGTTAGACATGCCTTTGTTTTCCCTTTACCCTCTAAATCCTTTTCTAGCATCTAAATGCAGTGAACCAATAACAGTTATGGCAACTCTCTACATCTCTTACTACCCTCCTCCATTCTATTTAATCTTTGATGATTTTCCAGCTGTACTTTGGCTATATGTATACTTATGTCCTTTGTTTTGTTTTGTCGAGACAGAGTCTCTCTATAGCCCCAGCTAGCCTGGAACTCACTAAGTAGACTAGGCTGGCTTCAAATTCACAGAGATCCTCCTGCTTCTGCCTCTTGAGTGCTGGGATTAAAGGTGTGTGCCACTACATCCAACATGCATTTCTGCTCTTTGAATTTACCAACCTTATGCCTATTTTACAGCCTTTGGATTCCTTACTGCCTCTGCCTGGGGTGATTTCTTCCCCAGCAGTTTGCACTGTAGGCTTTACTATTCAGGGGTGGCCTAATGCTCCCTCATCTCTGTAATACCACCATATTTAATTTCCTTCATGAATTGATACATTCTTAAAAGTTGTATTTTTTTAGGACTTAGGACAGAATAAAGCTAGAACCGTGATTAGAATGTGAATTATACTCTAGGATTGTCCCATGTTTTGTAATGCACCCCTATAAAAATGTAATCAACCTTGTGTATTCCAGAAATTGTTAGTAATGAAAAACTTCCAAATGAGTTTCCACAGGGGTCATTTTCTGGCAGTAATCTGCAATACAAAAGCCTTCCCAGCACATTTATTAGTACCCAGGCCTGTTGCTTCAGCTTTTATTTGTATGCCGGACAATCATTTTTTTTCTTGGATCTTGCTATGTCAGCTGTGCCAGAGAGAAGGCCACTGTGAGCAGCCAGAGTCAAGTTCTGTTATGTAGTATTGTTGTGTAGTATTTTTTAAGTTCTTTTTAAAACAAAGAACATACCCATAGATTTTCTTTCTTTGCCTCCCCCATTTCCATCTCCATCGCAACAATAATATTTATTATTTTTATTTTACATGTATGAGTGTATTGCCTGCATGTATGTGAGTGTACCTGTGTTGTGCAGTGCCGTGGAGGTCAGAAGAGGATTCCCCTGGAACTGGAGTTAAGGATGATTCGTAGTCGCCATGTGGGTGCTGGGAATTGAACCCGGGTCTTCTGCAAGAGCAGTCAGTGCTCTTAACTGCTGAGCCATCTCTCCAGCCCTACAAATGTAATTTTTTTAAGTGAATGAGAGATGCTAGGGGTGTAGTTCAGTTGTTAGAGTGCTTGCCTAACTTGCATGCAATGGTTAATTTCCAGCGCCATGGGTGAGGTAGCACACTCCTGTAATCCCAGCACTCAGGAGGTAAAGGCAAGAGGATCAGCAGTTCAAGGGCATCCTTGCCTACATAGAATTTGAGGCCATCCTAGGATACCTGAGACCCTGTTTCAAAAAATAAAAAAACAGAACGATGTCGCTTTTTGCGACAGGGTCTCCCTGTAGCCCTAGGACTTGTTCTATAGACTAGGTTGGCCTCAGAATCACAGAGATCTGCCTGTCTCTGCCTCCCAAGTGCTGGGATTAAAGGCATGAGCCATCACACCCAGCCCCAAACAAAATTTTTTTAAAAAATTAATGAGAAGACTAAAAGAAAATTTAGGATAGGTATAACAGTAAAGAAAGAGAAAAAGGTGGCCTAGTGGCAGAGCTATGCCATAGATGGGCAAGGCCCTGGGAACACTCCCCAGAACCACAAACAAATACAAAAGAGAAAAGGTGGGAATGAGGAAGAAGCCTGTTCAGCGCCTCAAGCTAATTCAAAGAAAATGAGTGGATACTTTAGAAAAAAATGAAAACTGAAGGCACTAATGACCGCCAGCCTGAAGGCTTTGCTTTGACTGTGAGCCGCCTCACATGAGTTCTGGGAATGTTTACTCACCAATATTGGTAGGAAGGGGTGCACAGCCAGGTCCAGGTTGATCACATAGGGTGGTTGCCCTGATAAAGTTCCATGACTAAGACAGCTTACAGAAGGTAGAGTTTATTTGGTTTATAGTTCCAGAGGGATACGAGTTCATTATGGTGTTGGGGAGTGTTGGGGGCCTCTGTTATGTAAAGTAGAAGTCTCTTCATATCCGGATAGCTCACGAGCTCGGAGCCATGTGCTGAGACTCCTTTCATAGCAGGGTGCTTTCCTGGCATTTTTTCTGACTCTCCTTTTGAAGTGCCCGCCACAAATGCCCTAACATAAACATGGCCTCTGGCTCTAGGAATACCATGCTTTCCTGTGTGATTTTTCAGGCAGTCAGCGAGCGGGCAACATGGCAGGAACCCACTTCCATATGCAAATAGAATGTCTCACAAAGTATCTATCAGCCAAAGCTTTTACCACTACCCCCATGGTATAAATATATCCTAGCCTTCTCTTAATAGTGGGAGATCGGGTCAGAGACTGAGTCCCAGAGATTGGGTCCCAGAGAGAATAAAGCTGTAAGCACAGACTGAGCCGAGCCTTGAGTCTTGTGTACCGGTGACC